GACTTTGGCGTTGGTCTCGGTGTGATTCGCCCTAAGGGCGAGTTGGTGCGAATTGGCGCGGGTCCCGTGCGTTGGTTTGCTGTGTGGCTCAATGTGGCCGAGCTTAGGCGCATTGGTGCGGAAAAGGCGCGCGGTGCGATGTAGACTCAGCCGGACCGTTGCGAGAAACGTGGTACGCGTGCCAAGTGTTGGGCGCGGTGCGGACGAAGCATGCCGGTGCGGTACGGCATGGGCGCAAGGCGGGCAGCCTTGGCGCGGACTTGTGCGACGAATGGGCGAGACCGTGTGGACCAGTGCGGAGCAGTGCGGACCAAGGCTCGGTGCGTGGCTAGACCTTGGCGTGCGGTTGCTGTGCGGTTGGGCGGTTGAGCTAGACAAGGGGGTGGTTATCCGAACATGTGAGCTGCACATGAGGGCGGTTCCAAGGCATGTGAGGAGCATGTGAGGTGGTTTCAGACTTTGCAAGGTGGCAGCGTTTGATTGGCTCTCATAAAGCTAAGTGGTTGGCTTGTAACCACCCGAAGCCTATAAAAGGCAGCCTTGTATTCATTTGTTGTTGCTCATAGTTTGGCACTAGATGCCGTGGGGCTGAGAGAGTGCTAGGCCGTGTGGCCGAGAGTTTTGTACGGGCAGTGCTACAAGTGCGAGGCCGAGATGGCGGACTGCTAGGTGTATGAGACCAGAGCGTGTTCCGTGGGTCTGGGTCGGGGGCCTGTGCGAGAAACTGTGCACGTGTGGTGCACTGTTTGCGGGAGTTTTGAGCGAGTTGGCTAAGTGTTGGCTGACGGGTGAGTCTTGTATATTAGTTCGGCTTTGGGATTAATATATGTGGTCTTCGGACTGAAATACTTGTGTGTTTGGCTCACGTTTATTTACTATGCTTGGCTAATGTTTCCTTCGAGTTCTGTCCAAAGTGGGTTAAGGGTGCAATCCAAGTCGTGACTTGGGTTGTGAGGCTGACTGCCTTGGGCAAAGGCAGGTCGCACGGGCGAAAAATTTGGGTCGAAAAATCCCCCCGTGACACTAGCAATGCATTCTCCATTTGCATGCCATTACATGCACTAATCCTCCGCTTTTCTCTCTCAATTTTGAGTATAAATATCTTAGACTTTCTTTGTAATTATGCACTCATTTTAGACATCAATTAGAATTGATTCTTCTTCTTTCTTCTTTCTTTTGTCTTCTTTCACGTAGACATACTTTTATATATATATATATATATATATATATATATATATATATATATATATATATATATTTGTTTTCTTTATTATTCTCTTTTTAGAGATTAACAATTATATATATTTATATTTTCCCTTTGTTAATTATTTATTTGTCATTTTATATAATTTTCTTCATTTATATATTTTCCCTATTATTTAACTTCTATAATTCTCAATTTTCGATCCTTCGCTTTCGCATTATTCCGCTATATTCCTAACAGAGTTCTTGAAATATTACATATCTTCTTCTAAAGTAAAAAACACAGCCACATAGTTGGTGTATGGTCACTTTTTTTGTGAAAAAAATCCTTTTGTCCACTTAGTAAAGACAAAAATCATCCAAATTGGAAGTTAGAAAACATTATACTAATTTTTCAATAAGTGCTTTATTACCAGGATTCCATAATCAAATTACTTGTGCTTTTAGTAGGAAGGGTGCAAATTACAATTATAGATTATGATCCACTATTTACATCTTTGGCAATGATTATGGATTATGGATTGTCACCATACTTTTTAACTTAGTTGATCCATAATAACTCCGACTTAGTCATAACATTTTATAATCCATAATCATAAGCCTTGCAAGATGGGAACATTGGAGATTTTCATAATTAAATGACAATTTACCTTGACAAAACAGTGCAAGAAGAAAATCCATAAATTAGTATAAACCGCTCCAGCAAGTCTCTGCCTTCAATTTGCAGACACGATCACTTGAACTCGCGCAGTAACTTCTGGATGAAGCTTCAGTTCAGCAGTATATGCTCCAGTTTCACGAATCTCGGGCAGAGATACTATTCTTTTGTCCACGTCCCTATATGAAAAACATGAATAATACGTAAATAATCATGCCAATAATCCAGTTAAGATTTGGGGATTAGTCACACACAAAGACATCATACCGAAAATGTTTATAGGGGAACTGTACCTCTGTAGCTGTGCCTTGATTATGTCAACAAGATCCTGGGCAGTGACACTGAAAATGGCCACAAGTGAATAACAATGCAAACAAAGATAAACTCGATGCTCATTACACTTTTATTACTGAACATTCGAACTCACCTTCCAAATATTTGTTTTCCTTTCCCGCCCTTGCGTTTCACCTTGAAGCCTCCAACAGTTTCGAAAATTAGAGCAAGTTGTTGTGCTTCTTCTTTCACCTGAATGCAAAATTAAATACTAGATATCAGTATCTATCACTATAATGTTTTATAGATTTAGATGTAAATAAAAGAAACACAATTGGAAATATGTTATCTACAAGTTGGTATCATACCCGTTTTTTCTCAGCCTCGATTCTCTCTTCTTCAATCTTCATTTCTCTGAAATGAAATATGTACTCCTAAAATCTTATGATCCATGATGAAGTTGTTCACTACTTATTATTATCCAAATAAAACCCATAGCACCAACTCTTCTTGATAATGGACTCACATTGTTTTTTTTTTTTTTTTTTCAAGTTAAATTCTAAATAGGTGTATTTTCAGATGGAAGAAACATCGTAGAAACCTTCTAGCATGCTGCAAGGCAATAAGCACATTGTCTGAAGAGGAGTGACTATCACAAGCTTCATGGATATATATATAAAGAAGTATAACATGGAAGATTGTCCATGCACATTGCCCATGCTCTACATATTACTTGTAGTCTTATTTTCTGATTGAAAAATGTTTGAATAGAGAGGCAAAATACTGAATTTAACCAAAAAAGATCATTTTTGTGACAGAGTACATAAAAAGGATTATAACCCTGTTTGGCAACATAGTTAGCTTATCAGCCAATTTTGGCTTATTTGACCACTATTAGCTATTTGACTTGGTTAAACAATCAATATGAGTGTTTGATTAATTAGCTTTTTGTAACAACTTATTGCTCCAAAATGATAAAATTCAAAAAACTGCTCAAAGTAGCTTTTTCGATCAGCTTTTCGAGAAAGTCATTTTGCATGTAATCAGCTATCAACTAACAGCTAATTTACCAAAACACTTTTCTACAATCAGCTAATGCTATCAACTAGTCAAACCCACTAACCCAAACAGCTCCTATAACAGCTAGATTCTCATCAGTATCTTCACAGAACCTCAAAGCTTACATAATAAGATATATAGCCTAATGTCCACTCACATCCACTTAAACCAGCACCAGAGAAGTATAAAGAATCACACTTTTATGCAAAGTGCAATCTTTAAACAGAAAGAATAGTAGAGAATTAAAATGCAATTTTGTTCCGAATGAAATATCAGTTCTCAGTCCAATCTTCACATACTTCAAACAAGAAAAATGGTGCAAATAAAAAAGTGAATAAATATCAGATGATTGATAATTTGAACTTTATTCCAATGGACATATGACTTGCCAGCTTAAGCTTCGCATAATTCATGAAAAATACGCAATTAACTAAACTTCCCAAAACCTTACTTGAGAAGCAGAGGGGTGACAATTTGAGCCATGCCCATTGGCAGCAGGAAATTCCTGTAGTACCCTGCTCTCACACTCGTAAGTTGCCCTTTCTTCCCCAAATCTTGCACATCCTCTTTCAGTATTATCTGTCCCCCACCAAACAAAGAAAATTACAGAGAAACCCATGGATGGACTTTGGGTATGAAGAAATTTAAAAATTAAAACGAAATTATTGAAAACCCGACAAGCCAAATTTATACACTGACATTTTTCCGCTTACCTTTCTTATTTTCTTGGTTTTCTTTTTGGCACTCAATAGTCAAATTTGAGGTCCTCTCTACCAGTTTTGCAGTTCCAAGTGGTGCATTCTTGCTTAGCTTGTAATTTCCAAGCAACGAAGATGAGCTCCATGACAGAGCTGCTGCCGAGTACGCCGCCATTTTTGTTATACTAAAACTCTGAGAGGTTTCAGTGCGCCTTTGAAAGCAGCGTTTCTCCCTTATGCTACTCTGTCTGTCTATACACTTGTTATATTATAGACCGCGGTGCATAATCGATTATGTACCGCGGCCCATATATGGCGCCGTTTCTTTAAGTAAAGAAATGGCCCGCCGTTAGAGTTAACGGAGTCCGTTTGTTTAGTGTATTAAACACCAACTAACACTACAGTATATTCAAACCGACACTGCAGTTATATCAAAATGATATTATAGTTATAGTGAAATGAAATTGCAGTGTATTATGTATATAAACTGAAACTGAATAACATTTCACATATTTGAGTGTATATTGTACAATGAAGCTGTAATTATATCAAAATGATCATGTAATTGTGTTTTAATAAAACTATAGTGTATATAAAATAAAATTAAATAACATTTTCACATATTTGAGTCTATAAAATATCGAATGAAACTATAGTTAATCGAAATGAAATTATAGTTGTGTTCAACTGAAACTGCAGTGTATACAAAATGACACTGAATAACAGAGTTACTTTTTGTAAAAGGGTGCGAAACGGCGAAAATAAACACTGTTAATTTTCATTTAAAAAAAAAAGACGCGCGGTGCGTAATATAATTTGCCACTGCGATGTGAATGCTGAAGCCTGAGGCTGAAACAGGGGGAATTAGGAAATGGGTTTATCGGGCCCATATATATACTCTTGGGCCTATTAAGTTTTTTTACCAATGTTTTTTAATTCAATGAATGAGATGTTTGATAAATAACGAATTATCTAGTTTTGACAAATTTAACTTGATCAAATTATAAACGTAAGTGTTTAATAAATAGCTATTTAGCTTAAACTAATTGATAATTTAATACAATTGCTTAGAGCATGCTCTGGTATACTTTATTACATTTTCTTTTTCCTCTCTTCTCGCAAAGCTACAACAAATTGCTTCTCTATTGCGGTGTTACATACCCTAATGCAAAAGCCATGTTATGGCCTATGGGTATTGCTAAGTCACTAAAAAAATGATGCACACAAATTTACTATCTAATGTGACTTTATTTGATTAATTTGTAATGAGATTAGTCTATTTAATACGGAGTATAAATCAATAAATATCAAAAGTTGCAAACTTATGAATAAAACCAAAATAATATTATCCGAAAACAATATAAAGGGGGGTAAGGGGGGAGAATTAGGCATATCATATCAAGATCATAAAAAAATATATCCATGCACATGAATTCTGGATGCTCTCATTGAGTGAAAGTATAGGTGAAAGAATTCGCATGCCATACAAAACAATTTAAATTAAGAAAATATACATAAAGGAGAAACTATTTCTTAGGGTAAGTGTGTTGATCAGGTCCAATATCACGCGAACCAGTATTGATATAAGGTCCACGAAAAGTTGCCTGAGGTGGTAGCGCTTTTGATGAATCAATCACAGGTGTTGCTCTTGATGATCGAGACCTGGATCAGAGATAATGCAAAACAATGAAGCCTACGGCAAGCAATAAGAAATGAAATATTACTTTGCTATACTTACAAAAGCTGAAAAGGTTTACTCACGCCATGTAAAATGGGAATGCTAAGCCAGCAGCAACAAAGGCTACTAAGCCAGTAGCAACAATGGCATTGCGACTACGAGGCATTATGTAAGCCAAAGCAGGCTATCTGAATAACAAACTATGCTCGGCAATCCTTTTGTATGTGCATTAGCTTTAGAAGCCTTCTTCTAAATCCCTCTCTATGTATCTTCAATTCTCTGTTGCCCTCTCAAGTATAATTCCAGAATGAAACTAAGATAACTAAACACTAAAACAAAATCTTATTATCATCAATCAAGGTTAATAAAAGGATAAAACAAAGTCATATATCCTTCCATGAAAAGTGCAAATAAAAAGGAAGCTCGCAAAGTAAACAAACATTAATACATATTTTAAGGTAATTTTAAACTCTCATTGCAAGTTCGTGCATATGCTCCCATATTCCAAAGAATATTACTATCAACACTCCTATCGCTGCAAACTTGAACATGCCCATCTTGATTCAAACAAATATTAAGAGTACTTTTCCTTTCTTGACTTGTAAAAATAGTTTTCTTTTCATGAGTTTCCAAATCAATAGAAATTAGATTCGGTCCAATACCTGGCTTGAAATAAAACTCCTCATCATCAATATCATTATCATAGAAATTTGTATACATTAAATCCATACGACCTGAAAACACAAGCAAATGGCCCCTCGGATTCCAAAATCCTATCGGATCAAAATGTTCATTTCTAAATATGTCATCGCTAGAAGGTATAATTGCATGTTTATGCCAATTATTATTATTATTTTCATCCATTACCCAAATCTCAGTGCAAAACTCATTTACCGTACACGGTCTAAGCCCAGTAAATACTGCAATACTCTCGTTCATAACTGTATAGTGAAGAAGATTTTTAACATCAGAGGGCAGCTCAATCTTACCAAAAACCTCATCATCCAGATCAAACCAAATCAAATCGTTATCAGCTTTCGGCCAATAATATTTTCCTTTGAAATAAAAATCCCCGGTACGCATAAGGGAACGCAAATATGGAGAATAGAGAGCCGCATCAATTTGCCTCCAGCTCCACAAATTACCTACTTGGCTACAAACCATTACAATTCCATCACTATCCTCAATTTCCCAATTTGCATCTTGAAAACTCAAAAGCATGATAATCTTCCAGGTCATGTTATTAGACAATCCAAACCCAAATCGTATCTCCACACATTGTCTGTTAGGTGGTTTGTCGGGTACCTTAATAAAAGGTAAGGCCTTAATTTCCCTAGTGAATGGGTTCAATATCAAAACATCAAAAATGATTTCCGGTGAAATGATATTAAATATATCAGATCCAATCAAATCACCCCTGCATAGGATCAAGCATAGGATACCATGACAACACTTGACATACCTGGTATTTGAATTTGGCAGGTCTAGGTATGTGCATACCGCATCATCACACTCTGATTCTTTGTAAATCAAGTTAAATACTTTATTAGGCCAGGGAGCATTGTCAGGCTGAAGGTCGATAACAACACCATGGCTTTTTCCCTTTCTAAATTCATAGTGTTTGTCCATGAATTGATGGTTGTTTTTTATTAAATCATACACAAATTTGCAAACACATTTAAATCGCATCAGAGTCTTTACAGGCAACCTCGCCAAAATGTCAATCATCGCATCTATCGGTAATTTGCAGTCTTCCATTTTCAAGAATCAAACAATTCAAAGATGGAATCTTTAACGAACCCTAGCTATTTTGAAGCAATAATTGAATAATCTGAAGGAAGGATATGATGTACCTTTAATCGTCAATACACAATTTTCTTCTTCTTCAATTCATCAACCTCATTCAATTAGTCAAGAACCTCCAATTGGAGACGGTGAAGACCACAGATAGAACGATGAAGTTGTGAAGGAAGGGTCGGCTGAAAATGGAGATTAAACACGCGTTTGGTATTCATACCTATAACTTTAATTAATTATACTTTTAAACCCACGGTTATTTTGTTATTTAACGTTTAGTCTATAACTTTTAAATAAATCACGTTTGATACTCAATTGTTGTGATAATGAATGTTCTAATCCTCTATCAACCATTCTCCAATGCTTATTGCATGGACCGTGGTCCACACAACTGTGTGCACCACGGTCCTAAACGACGTCGTCTCTTCTTAAAGAAGAGACAGTGACATTAACACGCGACAAATGTCGAGTACTATCTATTTTTTTTTTTAAAGTGTCAAATTAGTCCCCTAAGTTGCATGGATAGTGCAATTGGATCCTCTAAGTAAAAAAAGTGTCATTGAAGTCCTCTAAACCGGTAAAATTGTTCAATTAAGTCCAAGTTAACTTGTTTATCAAGTTAAAGCCATGTGGGATTGACATGTGTTTTTTTATTTATTTTTAAAATAATTTTTTATTTATTAAAAATAAAACATATTATTTATAAAAAACAAAAAAAAAAACAAAAAAAAAAACCTAAGACCTTGATTAGGATGGAGTTCGAACCTAAGACCTTAATAAGATTAAAGTAGAGTACTAATTATGCCAACTTTGATTGGAATGGGGTTCGAACCTAAGACCTTTCTTATTGAAATCAATGAGTAAGTTAACGGTGAACTAACAGAAATTAACGGAAAAGATAATATTTAACGGAAAAGTTAACCAATAATCATATTCATTAAGGATAAATTAGGAAATCTTACGGAAAAACTAAAATCTGATCAAATCTGAGCCATTCATTTGATTAAAAAATTTGACTGCCATTTTTTATACCCATTATAGGCCTAACTCTCTTGGACTCTTATTAGTGTGTGTGTGTGTGTATATATATATATATATATATATATATATATATATATATATATATATATATATAGTTTTTTTACGCGCGAATGGGATAATGCCCAATGATTATATCAATGCAATATTATATAGGAGATGTTTATGCATAGGTAAATTAAATGTTGAATTTGTTTATTTAAATCGGTAATTTAAAGTATATAAATTCAATATAATGTATGAGAGGTTGATTATAATTGTCACTAAAATAAATGTTTGTAACTTTGTAATAACGCTAGTCTAAATACTTAGTTTTAAAGCGATAGTCTAAATAAATACTATTTTTTGTTTAAATTTCTCTAATTCTTCTTAATTCTCTTTTGGGTAGCATTGCCATTGTTTTCATCTTCAGTACATGTTCTCTCTCATTTATTTTTATTTTTATTTTTATTGGTAGTGTGTCATGTGCAATTAGGTTACCGGTGGCAACATAGAAAGATTCATCATGCAATGAGATTATGGTGTAGGAAGCTTTAGATTTGTCTTGCTGTGTATATGACTGAGATTTTAGTTGTAATATGAACTCTTTATCTTACAAACACCTATTGATATTTAGTAGTGGTAGTTTTTCTCCTACATGTTTCATGTTTTGTGAGATGTGTGTCGTAGGTTATCATGTGAAAGTATTGAACAAAATATTAATATTTATTATATTTCTATAAAATACTTGGTAAATAAATATATATAACATGTTTTGTATTATTACTTTGATATTTAATTACAAGATAATGTAAAAAAGAAGACAATAGACAATGTAGTGAATATAATAAATTAATAAATTAGAAGGTAAGGAATCTTTGAATTGTAGAAAATATAGATAATATAACTAATGAAATTATATTTCTTTTAAATTTTTTTTTATAATGAATAATGAATAATTTTATTTAAATAAAGCATTATAGACATCCAATTTTAAACTAATTAAATGCATATGTATTATTTTTGTTGTAGCTACTAATTTATTTAATTTAATATATTTAATAATTTAATAAGAGTAATAAAGTGGCATACATACTTTTCATCAACAATAATGAAATCAATGATTTTTTTTTTTTAAATTTTCATTCCTTGTTGAGACAAATTGTTTTGAAAGTTTGTCAATGACAATTGCTACAATTGCTCTCAATAGAGAATGATAATAAATAATTCAAAATATATAGTTACAATAGATATTGTTATAATGATATAGTAAATATTAACTTACAAATTTCTTTAGAAATTTTCATGCATTGATAAAATTCTGATGTGTAAACTTGTTGAATTGGAACTAGTATGATGTTAACATTGTCAATTATTTGAAAAATAGTCCTACCGTTTTAGAGTCTATGTGTAATTGTATTTATGATCAACAACTTTGTAGTTAGGCCGCACAGGTCTGACAATGATGTAAGAACAATTTTGTCCGATAAAAAAAAAATAATAGTATAATATTTGTAAAGTAATGTACAATTATAAAAAAAATATAAAAATATTAATACCATAATGACCTAAATCATTCCAATAATACAATAGCATAATTGAAATATTAAGTTTTGTTCTAAATAATCAAAAGAAGATTAAAAAAAAAAAAAAAAAAAAAAAAAAAACCTTAACCTAAATTTGTTTTTGTTTAAAAAAAATCAAGAAAATCAAATAATTTTTAAAGTTCTTGATTTATAATCTTTGATGCTCAACTTTGAATGCTATGTATTTAGTTGGGCTAATTATTTGAACAAAGTTTATGTTAAATTTTATATTATATATTTTTTTAATACTTGTTTTGAAAAATATATGGTGCTTCATTAAAAGTAGGCCGAAAGAATATCTGGTGGGAGCAGATCCCAATACATAGTAGCAGATTGCTGATAAGCCGTAGTTGCTAAAGCATGAGCTAAATAATTATCTAATCTAGGAATTAAATGGAACGAATAAGACTGAAATAATGATGCAGTAAGTCTGCAGCTGTCAATGGCATAGCCTAAGTATGTGCGCAGCACAACGGTTGGTGTAGTAAGATAGTGATGTAGTCAAAGAGTCCGTATATATCTCGACATTCTGTTCTCCCCGATCCTTCAACCATGATAGAGCCTCCTTACATGCGAGCGCCTCGGCCATGAGTGGCGAGGAGCATCCTTGTAGCGGTCCACTGCATGCCGCGGCGTAGCCTCCGTTCGTATCTAGCAAGACCGCCCCAAATGCAGCTTGGGCCGTCCCTTGCATAAATCCTCCATCCACACGGCATATCCTCCTGGGCGGACCATGTGATGTTTCGGCAGCATGCAACTCGACACCATGCAGCCCGGATCCCCCTTGCGGTTGAACCGTCCCAGATGGCAGCGCAACAGCTCGGGCTGTGGGCAATGGATGCGCCTGCGTCCATGCTAAACCGGCAGCAGCAGCGGCTTTGAGTACCACCTCGGGGCGCGGTAACTTTGCCTCCCAGACCGACATGTTCCTTGCTCTCCAAACATTGTATAGAATTGCTGCTGCATATAACATTCCATCAAAGTCTAGAACATTTAAAAGTAGAATTGCTGCTGCATATAACATTCCATCAAAGTCTAGAACATTTAAGAGTTCATCAAACCAATCATGAAAAACATTTGTGACTATATTGGGGATCGTGAGGTTAGATTTTTCCCAAATGTTTCTTGCATAATCACACAACACTAGAGCATGCATTGTGTCCTCTTGAGATATTCCACACATGGCACATTGTGGTTCCACATCCACCCTCTTTATAAGCAAATTTGTAGTGGTAGGCAATATATCACTAACGGCTCTCCAAAGAAACATTTTCCATTTTGGTGGGATTTTGAGTTTCCATAGGTGCAGCCATTTTGTAAATATCCCATTATTTCCTTGATAATCTCCCACTATTAGCTGGTACCCACTCTTAACAGAATACTCCCCTCTTGGGTCCCCATACCAGTACCAGTGGTAGGAAATATCCCGACCGACATAGCTTCACCACGACCGAGAGGCCTTTGTCTTTTTCTCTTTGTCTTTGCAGGTAACAGGTCGGGCTCCTTGAGAAGAACCCGGTCGGCCCCCGACCGGGAGTTGCCCGAGCGACGGTGTCGACCGCCAAGCGGTAGCCCTTTGGCGAGAGAGCTGACGAAAGACACGTGGCGATTCTCTACGACGACAGACAGGGCACCCGGGAGGACGACACGTGGTGGCTACGTGGAGGACATGCCGAACGGCTGGAATCCTGTCCCCGGCATAGCGGCTATAAATACCCACAGTAGCTACAGCGTGGGGGACTTTTGGACGATCGATAGGTTGTTGTTAGAGAATCCCGACCGCACTCAGTCGGTACTCAAAGCAACCAAGTAGATTGTACTTAGGGCCTCTACTGTGATCAATAAAGTCATTTACTTGCTTTAATTGGTCTCGTGTTATTACATATTGCTTACGTATAATTAGCAGTATCATTTTGGCGCCGTCTGTGGGGACCCGTGCAAGAAACCAACGTCTTGACGAGCACCCGGTCTCTATATCGACATGTATCCGTGGGCACACAACAACTTTGCCGACGACCAGGCGGATGCGGCGAGCTCCTCTGACCACTATGCTACCCAACAGCAGGGTCAGACAATGGACCTCAACCTCAACCTCTCACCACCGCATCCATCAAATGCATACCCGGCCGCCCAGCAGCCGGTGAATTACATACAACCGGGATACCCAACACCCGGTCTGCCATACCAGCAGCAGCCGATGATGTATCCCGCCCAGTATCCATACCCGGTCCCACCTCCACCGTACGGGTATTGGCCAGGCCAACCGATGTGTTACACTCCCCCGGTTGGTTATCCACCATATACGCCAGCTTATACAGCTCCAGCCGCCGCCCCTCCAGTACAACCGACCGCACAGGTAGAGCCGCAGCGTCAGTCCGCATCCCGGGCTCGACGCTCGGCTCATTCGCGGTTGGGGTCGGGGGGTGCTGATGCGATGGAGGCACCAGCTCAGGCCGTCCAAGCGGAGGACCCTGAAGAAGTTGCCCGAGCGGTAGCTTTTGATCGTCTTCGACCGGAGATGCGCCAGCGTTTGGGACCCCAAGACCCGGACCGCGGGCAAGAAGACGTACAGATGCAGGAGGCTAGTCAGGAGGCTTCATCTGGGTATAGCGGGTCGAGATCTCACCGACGGCGACGTGCTCGGGATACAGCCCAAGCCGCTCAAGCCGCCGAGCTCAACGAAACCCGAGGATTGCTCTATAACCTCCAGGCGGAAGTTGCGCAGCTCAGGAATGCGTACCCTGCAACGCCCCCGGTCAACCAATCGACCCTGCACCAGACGCCCTTCACAGCAGCGGTAATGGCCCAGCCTTACCCGCTTGACTTAAAGGTCTCTGGAGAGAAGAGTTATGACGGACGGGCAGATCCTGAGGCCCACGTGAATGATTTTTTCAGCAACATGATGCTGAAGGGCGTTTCGGACGCCGTGATGTGCAGGGCCTTCTACTCGACCCTCACCGGTCGGGCGGCAGAATGGTTCCGTACCCTGCAACCGGGGTCTATCGATAAATTTGAGACCCTGGCGATCAAATTTGTGAGGAAGTTCATCACTTCCAAAGTGGTGAGGAAGTCCTACATGTATCTCGAGAAGGCCAAGCAGCTAGAAGGGGAAAGCTTGACCGACTTCCTCATCAAATGGAAAGCAGCGGTCGGGGAGGTCGAGCCTATGGACGATGCGACCGCCACCCACATGCTCCACATATCTCTCCGGGCGGGACATTTGTATCAGGACTTCATCCTACACCCCCCGACCAGTTACGAGGAAGCCCTTCGGAGGGTCACAGATTACGCCAACGCCGGCGAGGCGAACGCCGTAAAGCGCTTGCAGGAGGTCGGCTCTTCGTCCCGCAAACCGGCCGGCCGGGCGGAGCATCGGTCGGGAGATGATAATCCCCGATCCCGCACCAGGCCTGGCGAGTTTACGGCCTTGAACCGATCCGCAGCGGAGGCCATGCAATACGCCCAGTCCTGCAATCTCATCAAACTCCCCCATCCCGATCGAGACGGCTCTGACAAGAGTAAGCACTGTGCTTACCATCGATGCGCCGGGCATGATACCGAGGAGTGTACCCACTTGCGCCAATTGTTGGAAGATCTGCTCAAGAAGAATACCGATCGGAGAGATCATAGGCGTTCTCATCACCGCTCCGATCGGTCAGGTCAGGACCGAAGAGACGATCGAAGGGACGATCGTCATGATGACCGACGGGACCCTGACCCTCCGTCCGGTAACCGCCTGTCCGGAAAGCCTACCATCCACGTCATTTTCGGCGGGCTGGAAGATGCTTCCCGACCGCGGACTAATTGCCCGGTCGCAATAGTGGATTCCCGGGAGACCGGGAAGAGGCAGAAGATGGAGCCCATAACCTTCACCCTCGAGGACCAACCTACCAGCAGCGACCACGGCATGGAGGCGCTCGTGGTCACGATTGACGTTACGGGGACGGACGTCCAAAGGGTTATGGTGGATACGGGCAGCAGCGTGAACGTCCTTTACTTGGACGTCTTCGAGAAGCTTGGCCTCGACAGGAAGGAGCTGACTCCGGTCGGTGTACCACTGTCAGGATTCACCGGGGCTCTTATTTACCCCGAGGGGAAGATAACGCTCCCGGTCGAGATCGGCACACCTCCAAAGTCGATCCAAACGGAGCTAGAATTTGTTGTGGTCAACCTCCATTGCGTCCACAACATTATCTTGGGCCGACCCGCCATCATGAAGATCGGTGGGATAATTTCTATGCCCCACCTGTGCATGAAATTCCCCACCCCTAACGGGGTCGGCGTGGTCCGTGGCGATGTCCAATCCGCCCGGAAGTGTTACACCCGAGCGGTCAATAGACGTGACTCTGGTCCATCTTCCCGGGTGAACACCATAGCCAAAGAGGAGGCTAAGGAACGGAAGGAGCAGCCTGAGCCTTCCGAAGAGATAGAAGAAGTTCCCCTATCCGAGGATCGCCCGGATAGGAAGATCAAGATTGGCCGAGCCCTCACCCCCGAGCTTCGAGCGGAAGTTTTGGCCATACTCCGGGAGTATGCTGATATCTTTGCGTGGGGGCCCGAAGACATGCCCGGAGTCGATCGGTCGGTCATCTGTCACAAGTTAGCCGTCGATCCCGCAGCGAAGCCGGTCGTGCAGAAGACACGACACCTTTCCTCCGATCGCCGCGAGTTTGTCAGAGAAGAAGTCAAAAAGATGGCGGCGATCGAGCACATCCGTCCGGTGGTCTATCCCGAGTGGGTGGCAAATATCGTTCTTGTTCCTAAGCCCCCAGCATGGAGGATGTGCATCGATTTTACGGACCTCAACAAGGCCTGTCCGCTTGACCCGTATCCTCTACCGAGCATTCACCAGATAGTGGACGAGACGGCCGGGGCCGAATTAATGAGCTTCATGGATGCCTTCAAGGGGTACCATCAGATCATGATGCACCATGAAGACGAGAGCAAGACAGCCTTCGTGACCCCGGATGGGCTGTATTGTTACCGAGTGATGCCGTTCGGCCTCCGGAACGCAGGAGCGACCTACCAGAGGATGGTCAACATGCTCTTTGCCGATCTATTGGGCCGAACGATGGAAGCTTACATCGACGATATGCTGGTCAAGAGTCGGGACCGGTCCGACCACACTCGGGACCTCCGGGAGTGCTTCCAGATCATGAGGAAGTACCAGTTGCGGCTGAACCAGACCAAGTGCACATTCGCGGTTCAGACCGGCAAGTTCCTCGGCTATATGATGACCAAGAGAGGAATCGAGCCTAACCCGGCCAAAGTAAAAGCGATTCTGGACATGCAGCCACCTTCCACCGTTCGGGAAGTCCAGCAATTGACCGGTCGGTTGGCAGCCCTCAGCCGGTTCCTCTCCAAGCTAGCCGAGCGCGCTTTACCTTTCTTCAAGGTATTGCGGAAGGTTAATGGATTCGTCTGGGACGAAGAATGCCGAGCGGCTTTTGATGAGCTGAAGGAATATCTCATGTCACCGATCGTGCTCTCAAAGCCTGAGCTCGGAGAAGAGCTAGACGTGTACCTCGCCGTGTCCGATCGTGCAGTAAGCGCAGTGTTGTGCCGAACCGATCCGGAAGGGGTCCAGCGACCGGTGTACTATGTAAGCCACGCGCTACATGGTCCCGAGCTCCGGTATTCCCGGCTAGAGAAGGTCGTCTACGCCTTATACATTGCCGCGAAGAAGTTGGCTCCCTACTTCCAAGGTCGAGCAATTCGCGTGTTGACCGATCAGCCGATCGGGCCAGTCCTCCGAACCGCTTCATCATCAGGTCGCCTAGTCAAATGGGCGTTAATGTTGACCCAGTACGGGATCGAATACCGACCGAGACCGGCTATTAAAGGTCAAGCTCTTGCGGACTTCTTGGTTGAGTGCACCGCCCGGGATACCCGGCCTCCTGAGGTTGCGGATCCCGAGGCTGAGTGGTGGTCGCTGGCTACAGATGGGTCAAGTAGCAAGAAAGGGGCAGGAGGAGGAGTGGTGGTCACGAGCCCGGAAGGATTCAAGGTCTATTTTGCTCTCATGTACCAGTTCCACCCGACCAACAACGAAGCCGAGTACGAAGCGTTCATTAACGGCTTACAGTGCGCTCGGGACTTGGGGGCTGAATACATCCGGGCTCAAACCGATTCCGCGCTCGTGGTCGGGCAAGTTCTCGAGGATTATGAAGTCAATGGTGAGCGTTTGCAGTTATACCGAGACCTTGCCATGGAGAAGCTCGCTCAATTCCGGGGATATACCGTCCGGCACATACCCCGATTGGATAACGTCGATGCAGATATCTTATCCAAATTAGCTCAAGACGCCCCGGAACACATGTCGAAGATAGCTCGGATCTTGGTGATCCCGAGGCACAGTATTCACCGGCTACCGGTCAGTCCCATCCAACCGGTAGATGACAATTGGATCACCGATCTGGAGGAGTACCTCGAGCACGGTCGCCTCCCAGACGACCCACAGCGTGCTCGGAAGGCCAAGCTTAGAGCCCCAAGGTTCCAAGTCTTGGACGGTCGTCTATATCGGCGATCGTATGGAGGCCCCCTCATGCGCTGCTTGACCGCCTTTGAGGCCGATATAGTTATGAAGGAACTGCACTCGGGAATTTGCTCTTCACATCAAGGAGGCCGATCCCTGGCCCGTCGTATCATGCTGATCGGGTACTATTGGCCGTCCCTCCAGCTAGACTGTGAAAAGTTAGCTCGGGAATGTGAGACGTGCCAACTGTACGCCCGGATGCCTGGACGACCGGCAACCTTTTATCAGCCGGTCACGACCGCAATTCCTTTCGCTAGGTGGGGGGTAGACATCTTGGGCCCTTTCCCTCAGCTCTCTGGTCGGAGAAAGTTCGTGATCGTCGCCATTGATTACTTCTCCAAGTGGATAGAAGCCGAGCCCTTAGCTACGATCACCTCTCAGCAATGTGCTCGTTTTCTTTGGCGTAATGTGGTTTCCTGCTTTGGCGTGCCCGTACACCTTATCAGCGACAATGGCCGCCAATTCGTAAGCCAATATTTCCAGAACTTCTTGGCCACGACCGGGACGACTCACGTCCGGTCGTCGGTGGCTTACCCTCAGGGAAACGGTCAAGTGGAGAACGCGAACCGGACGATTTTGGAAGGTCTGAAAAAGAAGTTACACTCGGCTGGTCGTAGTTTGGCCGATGAGTTGCCATATGTCTTATGGACTTATCGGACGACCCCGAGGGAAGCTACTTTGGAGACCCCTTTCGCCCTGGTTTATGGGGCTGAAGCCCGACTCCCGATCGAGGCTTGGATCCCGACCGATCGAGAGAGAACCTACAATGCCGAGGAGAATGAACATGCTATGGCGGTGGATCTCGATGGGGTCGAAGAAAAAAGAGAGCTAGCCGCTCGACGTATGGCCGAGTATCAGAAGCGAGTTAAGAGTTCTAAAGATGTTCGGGTCAACCCTCGTTATTTTCAGGTTGGAGATTATGTTCTGCGACGAAGGGAGGCCAGTCAGCCTTTGGAGGGCGGAAAATTGGCTCAAAACTGGGAAGGGCCGTACATCATCAGTGCGATCATACGGCCGGGTACATACCGACTGGAGACGACAACTGGTCGGGTAATCGAGGGGACTTGGAATTCCGAGCACCTCGTTATGTTTAGGCATTAAGCCTCTTTTTTTGTAATCTTTGGACGAAGAGGGGGCTTGACCTGCGTGTAGGTCCCGGTCGTCGTTTGTAATTAAATTCCTATGTTTGTAAATATTTACTTAACCGCCTGCGAGCGGGAAGGATTAATGTATATACGATCGGTGATTGCTCGACCGTTTGCATACGGCGGCCTGATCGGTTATTTTCTATACCTTCAGTGCATGCAGATCAATTTATCTTCAAGCTACACCGACCGGGCGAATCTATCGACCGGTCAGATGCGCTCCACATCGGCGGACATTCGAGTCACGCCATTGATCGGGGAAGCCAGGAGCTCTCAGCATAATTCACCGATCTGTCCAACTTCTGTCCACTATCGCACCCACTCGTGCCTCGAGGGCACAATAGTGTGGGGGCTGGGATAAATGAAGTGTTGAATAGGCCCGTATCGCTCGGTATATCCTGACCGTGGGGCTTACTTCTTTTCGAAAAATTCGTCAAGACCTGGAGACCGGGTAAACTTGGTCGGGTAGGTCAATATTATGACGAGTCTACTTTTAAAAAATCGTCGAGGCCTGGAGATCGGGTAAACTCGGTCGGATTGGCCAATTTTACGACGAAACCTCAGATGTGCGACCAAGCCATAAGGCCCTAAGGTCGGGCGTTAGCAGGGTCGAGTAGTGCAAGACCGGGCCTGAAGGCCGGGCGGTCGAGCGATGGTGATCAGTGTGTGCTCGAAGACGAACGGGATAAGTTTGACAAAAAAAAATTAATTTTATTAATAAGCGAAAGCGCCCGGTACAAATTCGGGACCGGGCTCCCGATCAGTGTCCCTTTACAAAAAAAAACAGAAGAAGCTTATCCCTACTTCTTCGCTTCCCGAGCTCCAGCAGCTTCCTTCTCGCTCGCGGCGGCCGCAGAAGACCCGCCTTGCTCAGTTGTCTTCTCTTTGGGGCTGAAGGGAGAAGGACCGGGATCAGCCAAGTCCGGGGGCAGCGTCGAGAGAACCAGCTGAAGGTCCTCCCCCTCGAGAGCTTGCTCCATCCGGGTACGAGCCCGCTCGAGCATCTTCCGTTGCCCGGCCTTGAAGGCCCACCGCCCGAACGAGAGGATCAGATCCTCCCCGACCTTTGTCCCCCGGGCTGCTGTGAGGAAGGCTGAGCCCGAGTCGCTGTCTTTGAAGACTGCTTGCGCCAATTCGCTCGGGTTACCGAGCTGAGCCTTCAGCTGTTTGGCCTCCTCGATTGCCCGATGGGCAACCTTCTCCGCCAGGGCCCGGTCCTCGTCGCTCTTTTTTAAGGCCTTTTGAGCCTTCTCGAGCTCGGCTTGGAGCTCTTTAACCTCCAGAAGGCGACGGGCGGCCGTCTTCTTATGGTGGTCGGCTTCCTCGGCCAGCATGGCCCGACCCTGTAATAATTGGGCCGCTCGGGAGATCTGCAAAAACAAAGACAGTCGGGGTTAGCCCGGTCGAAGACACTTGCACAAAAAGATGAGTAGCTAAAGAAGGCTTACCTCGGCCAGATCATAGCCGATCCTCTCGGCTACCTGTGTGGGGGTCATCTTCCCCAGATCTTCTTTGGCTCGCCCCGCATTGCCAATCCGGGCCAATATGGACGAAGCGTCCCTTTCTCGCCCGACCGAAGGGCTCGGGCTGCGTTGTTCGCGGCGGCGTTTCATGCCGCCCACCTCCCTCACGCCCTGCTCGGGCACTTTCTCTTTTCCCCGGGTGACTAGGACGTCAGATGGCTCCACGACGAAGCCCTCGGCCGTCGTCACGGTCGAGGCGCTTAGCGGTCGGGCCAAGGGGATCTCCTTTTCCCCCGCTGGCTTCGCCTTCGTTTTCTTCTTGCCGCCAAGGGAGATCTTGGCGGGCGGGGGAAGGGGGGCATCTTCATCACCGAACTCTGCCATAGCTGCAAACAAAGAAATCAAGTTAGTGTGATCGAGGCATAAAGTTAAGTCGGGAGGGTTAGCTCGAGTTAAAACCTTTCTTCGTTCGCCTCGACGGTTCGGCGACCGTCACGCCCATCGGCACGGGCAGATATTTCTCCTGTAGCTCGTATGTAGGGGGCGGGAGTTTAGCCGCCTCGAGGCTCTCGGCCGTTCGGAAGATTGTATACTCGTGCAGCTCGCTCGAGATCCGACTGACCGTTTCCCTGAGCGCTTGCGTCTCGTCCGGCACCACTTGTTTCCGAAAGTGGGTGCTCCAAGCGCGGTCAACCGGGAGAATCCAGGGGTCGTATTTGAGGGAGAAAATCCTATTCTTCCACCCTTTGTTGTTCCCGGGCAGGCCTCTGATTGCGCACATGTCGGCTCGGGACTGTAGCATCAAGAACCCGCCCCCATAGCTGCCCGGGAGAACTTTGACTTGGTAGATGAAGTTGAACAGCTCCATCGTGCAGGCGGCTTCATGCCGAGCGCATATCTGCGGAAAGCAGGCGATGATCCGGTGCACATTGGGGCAAATCTGGGCCGGGACGACCCGGTAGTAGGCCAAGAAGGCGTTCAGGAGGGGGGTGAAGGGAATGGCGATCGGAGCCATCAGGGAGTCGTAATGCATCCCGATCCATTTGCCCCGATGCCGATCGATGACATTCCCTAACTTCCGGCTCGTATCGAATTCCACCCGACCTACGAGCCTTTCAGCAATCCTAGCCGCCTCGCCTGTGGTCAATCGGCTCATTTGTTGTTCGACATTCTCGCTGTTCAAGAATTCGAACTCCGTTGCGGCTGGTGCGGCCGGCCCGGCCGTGTTTTCCTCAGCTTGATCGGGGGTGTTTTCCTGGTCGCTTCCTCGAGCAACGGCATCCGGGTGGTCCCCAACCACCCGGGTCGGCGTTTCCTTAGCACCTTCGATCGGTGAACCCCGTCTGCCTGACGAGGGTCCTTCTTCTTCCTCTTCTCCGGAGCTCCCCGATCCGCTTGAGCTGGAACTCGATGACCCGGAGGAGCTTGACGCGTCGTTTTGTTCGGAAGCCCGCTCGGGGGCTGGCGCCGGTCGGTGAATGGCCTCGAGAGAGTAGGACATGATGTCCACTTCCTCGTCGCTGAGGTACTCGACCTCCTCGTCGTAGTCCGCGATCGAGGCGTTTTGGCTGTCAGAGTCCGTCATTTCGATCTACCTAAAGGTCGGTCGGGGTTAGTAAAGGACTTGAGACGTCCGGGACAGTTAGTTGACCTAACGATTCTACTTATAAATGAAAACGTAAAGTAAAAGAAGGGTTGAGAACTTACCGAATGGAAGAACTTTGCGAATGAAAGCTTGAAGTCTTTTAGCTCGACTGCCTCGCTAAGGTGCTCTGCTCGGGGCTCTCTGAGGGTACCGACTGAAGCAAAAGAGTGAGGAAAGTTCAAATGAGGGCCTCAAGGGCCTATTTATAGGAGAGCATTTAGGCGGGAAAGTCGTCCACTTGCGTGACACGACCAGCGCTGATTCCGAGGCGACGGTTGCAGTCGCAGAGGCCGGCAGTGGCCGACACGTGGCGGAGAAGGGAATGACAGCTGGCCGGTCGGTTTAGCGGCCGGCGGTTGGGCTTCTTCATCCCGGCCCATTTTTTCCCGGACGATCAAAAAGGCCCGGGCTGGGGGGCTCTTGGTAGGGAATATCCCGACCGACATAGCTTCACCACGACCGAGAGGCCTTTGTCTTTTTCTCTTTGTCTTTGCAGGTAACAGGTCGGGCTCCTTGAGAAGAACCCGGTTGGGGGCCGACCGGGAGTTGCCCGAGCGACGGTGTCGACCGCCAAGCGGTAGCCCTTTGGCGAGAGAGCTGACGAAAGACACGTGGCGATTCTCTACGACGACAGACAGGGCACCCGGGAGGACGACACGTGGTGGCTACGTGGAGGACATGCCGAACGGCTGGAATCCTGTCCCCGGCATAGCGGCTATAAATACCCACAGTAGCTACAGTGTGGGGGACTTTTGGACGATCGATAGGTTGTTGTTAGAGAATCCCGACCGCACTCAGTCGGTACTCAAAGCAACCAAGTAGATTGTACTTAGGGCCTCTACTGTGATCAATAAAGTCATTTACTTGCTTTAATTGGTCTCGTGTTATTACATATTGCTTACGTATAATTAGCAGTATCAACCAGGTATCATCATAATCCAGTGAGATGGGTACTTTCAAAATCTCTGTTACATCACTAGGTTGAAATAGATCAGTTAAAATTGAGGGGTCCCAATTTCCAGTTTGTTGATCAATCAAACCTGAGACCCTGGCTCCTTGCAGCTGTAGTGGCATTTCTGTCTGTATCATAGGGTCATGATCATTCCGTAACCAGGGGTGGGTCCATATGAGTGTAGATTCCCCGTTACCAACTCTGCGCCTGATCCCACCACAAACTATACTCTTTGCTGCCATGATGCTCCGCCAGCAAAAACTAGGATTATTTCCCACTTGTGCATCCATAAACGATCCTTTTGGAAAATAACGGGCCTTATACACACACGCCACCAAGGACTCAGGCTTGGTCAACATCCGCCATGCCTGTTTCCCTAACATTACTAGATTAAAGGCACGCAAATCTTTAAATCCCAACCCCCCCATACTTTTTTGGGATACACAGCCTGTCCCATGCCTTCCAATGTATTCGCCTGTCAGTCCCAGAGTCCCACCAATATCGATTCATAACTCTCTCTATCGCCGTACACACGAATATAAGCAGCAAAAAAACACTCATTGAGAACGTAGGCATAGATTGCGCTACAGTTTTCAATAAAATCTCCTTACCCGCCTGCGAGAGCAGTTTTTTATTCCATGACCCAATCCTTTGACGGATTTTATCCTCAATATACGCAAAAACTGCTTTTTTGTGTCTTCCAACAAAAGAGGGGAGCCCCAAATACTTGTCAAAATTCGCTGCCTGTGTCACTCCCAAAATCTGAGCCACATTATCCCTATCAACATTACTTGTATTTTTACTGTAACATATATTTGACTTATGATAGTTAACTGCCTGCCCAGACAGATCCTCGTACACAGATAGGCATCTTTTAACTTCAACCGCTTCCTCCACATTGGCTTTAAAAAATAAAAGACTATCATCCGCAAAGAAATGAGAGATTGGGGGCACCTCTCGCTACCCTGCATCCATGTAATGATCCCACAACATGTGCCTGCTGTAATAATGAAGATAGTCCTTCTGCACAGAAAATAAATAAATACGGGGAGATAAAGGATCCCCTTGCCTTAATCCACGAGTAGGTATAATAGGATCACATCTCAAGCCATTCACCTGAATATTATAGGAGACTGTGGTGACACACTTCATAATCAATTCCACCCAACCATCATGAAAACCCAACGCCAGCATCATCTTACGGAGGAAAGACCATTCCACCCGATCATATGCCTTCGCCATGTCCAGTTTGAGAGCACTCCATCCCCCCACCCCACACTGCTTTCTATTCAGAAAATGGCCCACCTCCGCAGCTAAAAGTATATTATCTGTTATCAATCTATCCGGGATAAAAGCACTTTGCAACTCAGATATTATCTCCTCCATTAATGGCTTCATTCTGTTAGCCAGCATTTTTGCCATAACTCTATAGACCACATTACTAAGGGCTATAGGGCGCAAATCAGTTACAAACTCAGGGGTGTTCTTCTTTGGGATAAAAACAATATCGGTTTCAGTCAACCCGGGCGGGAAATCACAGGACTCTACACAATTTATTATAAAACTCGCCACATCCCCCTACTACATCCCAGAAATGCTGATAGAAGCCCGGATTCATTCTATCCGGGCCTGGTGCCTTATCCGGGAACATTGCAAACAATGCACCCTTAACTTCTTCCAATTCAAAAGGCCGCAGCAAGTACTCATTTTGTGTGCCTGTGTGACTCGCGGAACAATCCCCTCAAAAAATCCCTCCCCAATTCCCGGAGTTCCAGCAGTAAAAATACGATTATAATATTGCAAGATAACATTTTTCATAGGCTCCCCCTCCACCCAAATCCCATCATCATTCATCAACCTAGAAATAGTATTCTTCTTTTTTCGGTGAGAGGCATACCTGTGAAAAAACTTCGTATTAGCATCCGTCTCCTTAAGCCAATGTTGTTTGGCTCGCTGTCTCCAATAGGCATCCTCCTGAGCTTCAGTGCAGCTTAACAGCTGTTCTAGGCGCTGGAACTCTGCAAGCGAGGCCGGATCAGTACGCCCCCTTAATCGTGCTGTTCCCTTGTCAGCTCGTTGATCCGTTTTCCGTACTTATGCTACCGGTCCCCACCCCATCGTGTTAACCGATTCCCACAGTACCGAATGCAATTCTGTAAACCCTGGCTCCTCCCCTCCTGCCAAGACTGTTCTACCACACTCCTACACCCCTCATCATGCAACCATGTCATCTCAAACCGGAACCCCCTCCTCCCAGGCCCACCACCCCCACCGTAATCACGTATCCCCAGAAAGAGAGCCGAGTGATCAGATTTCCGGGTTCTCAGGTTCATCACCTTAGCCCCCGTCACCATACCCCGCCACTCATTTGTCACTAAGACCTTATCGAGCCTCTCCTCCATCCAGTTTTCTGTCCCCTTCCCCTTTTCCCATGTGTACGGATAACCAGTCATAGGCATCTGAGCAAGCCCACAGTCCTTAATAGCTTCCCCAAAACCGCGTAGGAGACTATTCGGATGTGGATTCCCCCCTCTCTTCTCATTCTGATACAGCAAATCATTAAAGTCTCCGATGACAACCCATGGAAGGGTTGACCTGCCTGACAGTGTTCTCAAGAGATCCCATAACTCAGTGCGCCTCGTTCGCTCCGAGAAATCATAATAACCCGTCATTCGCCATTCCGGAAAGCCATCAATAGTTACCCCAACATCAACGTAGTTCGTTGAGTAACTCAGCAGCCGGGCCGTACAATTCTTTTTCCATAATAACGCTATACCTCCACTCAACCCATCACTATCAACATAAAAAAGACCCTCATATCCTATCTTTACACGTAATCGCTCTGCATGATCGCGTGCCACTTTCGTTTCCATCAGAAATACAAAGTCGGGTTCCATATTTTTTTAATACATTTTAACATATTCATAATATATGTTTAACAAGGACATTTCTTATATAAATTAATGAGTATGTTAAGAATAATAAATAGTTAACGGAATATTCCGTTACTAAAGTTTATACTAACGGAATTTACGATTATTTAAGGGAAGAAAATAATATAATAGAAGGTAAATAAGGAAAATCATTAAAAAAATACTAAAATCAAAATATTACTTTGCTATACTTACAAAAGCTGAAAAGGTTTACTCACGCCATGTAAAATGGGAATGATGCTAAGCCAGCAGCAACAAAGGCTACTAAGCCAGTAGCAACAATGGCATTGCGACTACGAGGCATTATGTAAGCCAAAGCAGGCTATCTGAATAGCAGACATAAAAGAAGGGGAGTTAAGTGATGAATACACAAAAGAAGCTGAGATGAGCCATCCAAATGAACAAAGCAGGATAGTGAGTTCTATTTTTAGTTAATTTCAGCTATTTTTCATATAAGCCCTAAGAAAAAAGCAGTACCCTCCAACCAAGGAGATCCTCACAGAGTGGTCTTTCATGACCCCCATCCTTATCCTTAACAGATCAATCAGATGAAGGCACACCAGGAGAAAAGCACAGAACGTATAGAGGTATTCACTAACTTAGATGTTGCCAAATACTACATCTTATAAGAACTTGATAGTAGAGGCAACAAATCTTCTCAAACATATCAATATGTTAAGTACACTTGCTAGTCCATGTTGCATGGGATACTTACAACAATCTATGGGGGTTTGCCTCTTGGTTTTAGATCTGTTCAATTTACATGGCAAAGCTAATTGGAATGCAATTTCATATTAGGGTCCGTTTGGAAAACAGGAAAATGACTTATGAAAAATGAGTCATTTTCCAAAAAAAAACATTTTCTTTTCCCGTGTTTGGCTGCACAGCAAAAAGCTGTCTTTGTGTGTTTGGTTCATTTTCCAGAAAATGAGCAGAATTATATACTTCAACATTTTAATTGTTATATACCAAAAAAAAACATTTTTATTGTTTTGTTTATAATATAACAACTTTCATTTTAAATTTCATGCAACATAAGTTTAAGTTGTAACCGCTGTATTTAATCATAATGCCTTTGGCCTCAATAATCTATCTTCCCAGTACTGAAACCATTGTCACAATATAAAAACTTGAAACTACAATTACATGTTAGAAACAATATAATGAAATCAACAAAATCAAGTCTTAAAGATTACACACCACAATAAAGTCTTAGCATCCAACATAACCAACTACAAAGGCATACATAAAAATCAAGTCTTAAAGATTACAGTCCACAATAAAGTCTTAGGCTCTTAGCATCCAACATAACGTCATAACCAAGTCTTAACATCCAACATAACCAACTACAAAGGCATACATAATTTAATCAAAAAAGAAATAAATTTCTCAATCCATTTCCTCTTCAAGCTTTTGCATTCTTTGCCTTGAAAATCCGCGCTTGAACTTCATTTGTCATTAAGAATTCAAATACTTTACATAGATCATCCTCATGATATTCATCACATCATGAAACAATTGATTTTCATCAAATACCGGTATTCAATGACTTAATTTCCATGGCAATGTTACTGAGTTGTCCAGCCATTTCATCCACCTTCAAGTCAACTGACTTTCGCTTACGACCGAATTTTTTAGACGAAGCAGTTGATGCAGATGTTCTTCTCCTACTTTCTTCATCATTTTGTTCAGGCAAGGTTTCATCATTTTGATCAGGCAACATCTCATCATTAGGACCATCTAAAGTATCTGTAAAAGACTTTGCAAAGCGTCCTATGGCACAATCTCTACCAACAACAATGGACATCTCCTCAAAAGTACTCAATTTTCCTGTTCAATAATGTTTCGTACTTGGGAGTTACCCATGAATAAAAAAAATATTAGAATTATGCAATAGTAAAAAAAACATTAGAATTATGATAATAAAATATTACCGAGATAAGCTCCATATACGTGGCTGAATCACATGTAATCATCTTCAAATTATCATATCATCCAAGGCCACTCATATCACTCAGCTTGCAAATCATCATCCATGTGTTCTTCACAGTTCTCAAGTAATTCTCCACATGTTTGGGTTCACATCCAACATTAAATTGTTCAGAAATGGCAGATGCAACACTGTTAAATAAAGAGGCTCTAAAATTGTTAGTTGGATTATTGGAATTCTTAACCTCTTCAGCTAATACCTTTAAAAATATGCCCTCCATTGGCTTTGTCCATCAAAATTGCCTAAAAGTGATAATTCCCTTGTTCATGACATTTTTCATGTCAATTTGCTGAAGGAGTTCAAGGGGGATCCACCCGCTGGTTTGGCTCCTCTGCCTCTTGATAAGGAAGGCCGCTTTGTTCTCATCCCTAGGGGATTGCAGGTAGACAGCTCAGTCGAGGCAACTGTAAGATTTTGGTACAATGGACTGGCTTGTTGGATGACGCCGCTACGTGGGAGTCCTTGGAGGAATTCCGAAAGTAGTTTCATGCATTCTAGCTTAAGGATAAGCTGGCACTTCTGGACGAGGGTGATGATGCATTCTTTGGACGAAGGTACACCAGGAAACAACGCAGAGTTTCAGCCACTGGTGCTGCCCAACTTGTTCACACTGCTTAAGAACCAATTTAGTTATATTGTTTCCTTTACTACTTTAGTTATGTTGATTCCTTTTATTAACAATTGCTTTTATATTTAGTTTAGCATATTTTAGAATATTGTTTCCTTATATCTTTAGTTGTAACTCTTATATATAGGGAATATTAGTTTGTCTTGGTAAGTTGGTATTGAATAAAATCAAAAGAAAGTCTCTTCTCAAACTTCTTCTCTCGTACTATTCTCAGTCACCATAGGGAATCCATCATCTTCATCTTCTGTTAACCACCGACATGTGACGCGTAGTCAAATTACTGAATCATCAAGTTGACATTGGTTGTTATTGTTTTTATGTTATTATAGCAATATGAATAAAGGAAAGGGAATTATCACTTCTAGGCAATTTCAATGGACAAAGCCAATGGAGGGCATATTTTTTAAAGGTATTAGCTGAAGAGGCTAAGAATCCCAATAATCCAACTAACAATTTTAGAGCATTTTCATTCAACCGTGTTGCATCTGCCATTTCTGAACAATTTAATATTGGATGTGAACCCAAACATGTGGAGAATCATTTGAGAACTGTGAAGAACACATGGATGATGATTTGCAAGCTGAGGGATATGAGTGGCCTTGGATGGGATGATAATTTAAAGATGATTACATATGATTCAACCACGTATATGGAGCTTATCTCGGTAATATTTTATTATCATAATTATAATATTTTTTTTTACTATTGCATAATTCTAATATTTTTTTTATTCATAGACAACTCCCAAGTACGAAACATTATTGAACAGGAAAATTGAGTACTATGAAGGTATGTCCATTGTTGTTGATAGAGATTGTGCCATAGGACGCTTTGCAAAGTCTTTTACAAATGTTACTTTAGATAGTCCTAATGATGAGATGTTGCCTGATCAAAATGATGAAACCTTGCCTGAACAAAATGATGAAGAAAGTAGGGGAAAAACATCTACATCAACTGCTTCGTCTCAAAAATCCGATCGTAAGCGAAATCAGTTGACTTAAAGGTGGATGAAATAGTTGAACAACTAGGTAACATTGTCACGGCAATTAAGTCATTGAATACCGGTATTGATGAAAATCAACTGTTTCAGGATGTGATGAACATAGGTGATGGATTTCATGAGGATGGCCTATGTAAAGTATTTGAATTCTTGATGACAAATGAAGTTCAAGCGCGGATTTTCAAGGCAAAGAATGCAAGCTTGACGAGGAAATGGATTGAGAAATTTATTTCTTCTTTGGATTAAATTATGTATGCCTTTGTAGTTGGTTATGTTGGATGTTAAGACTTGGTCATGTTGGATGTTAAGACTTGGTCATGTTGGATGCTAAGAATTTATTGTGGAATGTAATCTTTAAGAATTGATTTTTATGTATGTTTTGTAGTTGGTTATGTTGGATGCTAAGACTTTATTATGGACTGTAATATTTAAGACTTGATTTTGTTGATTTCATTCTGTTGTTTCTAACATGTAATTGTGGTTTCAAGTTTTCATATTGTGACAATGGTTCCAGTACTAGGAAGATAGATTATTGAGAGCAAAGGCATTATGATTGAATACAGCAGTTTACAGCCTAAACTTATGTTGCATGGAATTTAAAATAAAAGTTGTTATATTCTAAGCAAAACGATAAAAATGTTTTTTTGGGTATATAACAATTAAAATGTTGAACTGTTGAAGTATACACTCATGTTCATTTTCCTGTTCATTTTCTGGAAAATGAACCAAACACACAAAGACAGTTTTATGTTGTGCAGCCAAATACTGGAAAGGAAAATGTTTTCTGAAAATGACTCATTCAGAAAACATTTTCCATAAGCCATTTTCGAGCTTTCCAAACGGACCCTTATTTTCCATTGACTTCTATTTTTCCCCCTAGCCGAACACGGGAAACCTGGAAAATGATTTCCAAAAATCATTTTCCGAGTTTCCAAACACACCCTTAGCTGTATTGTAGTGTTCTTCAAAATGATTTTGAGAGTTAAAAAATACTCCAGAAAGAAGACTTGGCTGAGGATCATGGCCTTTGGGGTTCAGAATGCACAAGCAGGATATAAATTTTAGCTTTGAACATGGCATAATATGGGAGGCAAGTTAGAATTTGAGCAAGAGTAGAGAGGTTTAAAGACAGACTAAGTTTCACTTATGTGCATGACATGTTTGAAATTTTGGAGTACCATCAATGGTGTAACTCAAAAAGGCACAATAAGTTGTCAACAGTACATCACATGCATTCACAGATAAAGAAATTCAAACAGCAGTTTTAGGGTCAGCCTTCAACAGCTCATAGTCTGTAAAATCCATTTCTTGGCATTCATCACCAATATTCCCATAGCATTTTAACTGCCGATTTTTTTTTTTGTGTGTGTGTGTGTCTCTCTCTCTCTATCTCTCTCTCTCTCTCTCTCTCTCTCTCTCTCTCTCTCTCTCTCTCTCTCTCTCTCTATATATATATATATATATATATATATATATAAAAGGAATTACACACATTACTCTTCACTGGAGATGAAAACAAAAAATAAAAAATCTTATTGAGCTTAACTAAACCAAGTAACCGAACCCCCTTGGATCACACACAAACATTTGCAACAAGAAACAAACACATTGAAAGACAATTCATGAAGCTCAACGATTTTGCAGGACAATGAAACAGATTCTGAAGTCAATCATAATTCATAAAGACATTATCAAAATCAATCATTAATATCTACAAATAGCTATGAGCACTTGAGTTAACGTTTCAAGCTTTCCAAATAGGACTCCCTACCACTTAGTCTAACTTCTATCATCAAATTATCAGCGCCAACAAACACGCATAAGAGTAATTTTAATTCAGAATGGGGTAACACATACCAGTCTAGCATGAACACATAGCTATATTTTACCAACTACAAAAAACATCAGCAGTCAAAATATTCACACGCCAATACAACATATTCAATGTGTGTAGAAAAGTTCTCAGAAGACACCAATTCAAAAAGATCGCCAGTAATGGAAGATAAAAAATAAAAAATAAAAAAAACATTGAAGAAATACCTAATAATCGACGTCTGAGAAGGTATTCCACCAAAGTCCGATCACCGACGAGTAGCTCTCAACTCATAGTGTTCGTTTGTCGATTTGGGGAAAATGTAAATCCGCCAGAAGCTTGACCCGATTAGAGCAAGGCTAATTTTGGGCCAACAGCATCAATATGTACCGAATTTTAAGGCAAATTATGCTGTGCATCCGTATGCACCAAGCATGGTGCATACGGATGCAAAAACGACGTCGTTTTTATAAAACCGCGTCTCCCCTTAAAAAAAAAAAATTTGGTTCGAAATTATAATTCCATAATCGATGAACTATAATTCCAGAATCGATGAACTATAGTTCCATAATCGATGAACTATAATTCCATAATCCATGAACTAAAATTCCATAATAAATGAACAAAATAATGTTGTTACTAGGAATCGAACCTGAATTTTTTTTTTAAAGGGGAGACGCACGTTTTTAATAAAACGACGTCGTTTTTGCATCTGTATGTACCATGCATGGTGCATACAGATGCACAGCATAACTATTCGAATTTTAACTATGTACGTCCACATCTTTGAGCCTACGATAAGGCCCAATTTTTAATCTGAGTCAACACACAAGTTTTTTATAAACAATTTCATTTTTCACCCAACCTATTAAGACAAATTATATCGTAGATCAAGTCCACCTTATATTGTGAGCTATGATCTAAAATGACATTATTTTTATTTTTTGAAGAAAAGACGATATATTAATTGGTTGCGGTATAACGTGAAGTGGGTGAGTAAGGTTGAATTGTCATCACTTGGGGACTAGGTGTTATGGTACGCTAATGCAATAATAACTAAGCACTAGACACTAAGATAAGAAGCAAACAAAAAAAGTAAGCAAGTCAAATGAGTGATACGATCAAGTAATAGTCAAAAACATATACTACATTGTAATAGAGTAAGTAGTACTCTAACAAATAAAATGAGATAGAAAAGCGATTAAGCAAAGTAAGGACTAGGGCAAGAAAACATAATTTTCTAGATGCAAGGAACCTATAGGATTAGGGAATTGAAACACCAAGCTAGGAAATTAACGGGAATGCACATAAGAATCACAGTCTACAAATCACTATCGTGATCGAATAAAAAAGAATTAGAACTTCGAATTGCTCCACTCATGTGTTGCTTCAATTCCAAGTCCTTCAAAAACACAAAACATCTAAAATCACCATTTTCCCTATTTTCATAGTGAGAAATTGGATTTGTGCAAAGAGTGGCATAGAAATTTAATACAATTCCCATTGCGGTTGAATTTCCTCCAAAGACAAGCTATTAGTGTTGCACACCACACCTCATGAAGATACAATCATAATTCCTTCACAAACATTAAGAACCCTAACTTGAGTTTCTACCTTTTTTTTTTTTTTTTTTCTGAATGTTACTGGCCCTATTACATTGTAGTATCTGTTCATATACTTTCTCAACCTACTGAAACACAAAGAACCAATAACGCCTCCACTGAGGCTTGAACTCACAACCTTCCAAATGGAAGTCCAACCCGGATACCATTAGACCACATAGTCCTGGTAACTTGAGTTTCTACCTATTTATGCAATAATTACAAATGAAACATCTAGATGGATTAAATTACCCTAACTCAAGTCCGAAATTGAATTACTCACATATTTAGCATAAATAAAGTGAAACCACAAGCAGAAGAGTATAAACACAACATAAGAGAAAGAGAATGAAAGATAAACTTGTCTATTTGAAGAGTAGATGAAGAATTTAGAATTTGGTGCTAAAATCCTTGATTACAACCTTCAAAAGTGTAAGTAATGTGAAATCTAGTGCTAATCTAGTGCTAATCTAAGCTAGGTTAATGATAGGAATTGAAGGGAAATAAGCTAAGACTACCTAGAGTTCGAACTCCCCCAAAAATACTTTTTAGATATGGGCAAAACAGAGAGGAAAAAAACACGACGTGGCACGACCATGCCCTTGGTCGTGTCAAAATTAGCGAAAATGCAGTGCTCACTGCCTCGATTGGCATGACCAAGAGATACAATAAGACATAAAACATGCTACCATTTTGTAAAAGTAAATTCAACATTAGGAATTTTTTTAGCTATTTCTTTATGTGCTTTGATGATAAGACATGAAGGGTTGCCAACGGGGCGGGGCGGGGAGTACACTCCCCTTCCCCACGACCCTAACCCCAATTTCCGGTGGGAAATTAGACGAGGATGGAGATTCTGCACCCCTAGTAAACTCCTAGTCAAGGTCCAATTTTATAAAATTAAAATAATCAAGTGTGTGTATTAAATTATACGGAGTAATAATTATTCAGGACGGGGCGGGGAGGGATGTCCCTGTCCCCGTCCCCTTCCTCGACGAGGAATTACACACATTTCATGTCCCTGTTTTCCAAAAGATTTCTCATTCCCATTCCTGTTAGAGACTGTGCAAATTGTCATCACTGATGAAGGGGAGTACTAGTACATCATATTTTAATAAAATTATCATGTATTATGTTTATAATGTTTGTTTTATACGTTCATAAACATAAATCGTAATGTACATAAACACTAAATTTTAAAAATATAATAACAAAAAAAAAAATCAAGCCATTGAAAAATGGCTTGATTTTTGGAAAAAAAAAAAAAACAATTTTTTATATATAAAACAGAGTGTGGGGGACAACTATCCTTCACTCTCTACACGTTAAAATGACGTGTAGCCAACATGATTGACACGTTATTGTCACGTGATAGGCGTTACTTTCTCTGAAGAAAACATTCTCCCATTTTTATCCTTCTCTCTTTTCTTTACCTTTCTCCTTACATTGGGAGTGTTCTAATCTCATTTTTAATTGACCATATAAAACAAAATTATTTGAAAAAAATTAACTAAAGAAATTTGACAAATCAACACTTGACATTGACTTAACTGAATTATATCAAATAAAGTAAAATGAAAAAAAAAAAAAAAAAAAGAATAAATACCACCATCTTTAAAATTAATGGTCAGCCAATTTAAATCTTAATAACAAATGACATTTCTCAAAAAGTAGTAACAAACCGACCCTTGGGAAGTCCCGAAGCACTCCTCCCAAATTCCCATCCTTCTCTTGCCAGTTGCGTTGCCAGCCCAGCCATGTCAACGCCCAAACGCCGGTCCACATCCAAGCGCAAGACATCCGGCGGCACTCCCGACCCGAATTCGCCGCGAAGCGCCGCACCACCCTCCCCGGCAGCGACAAATTCCCAGCTATCCAACAAGGTATTCAGCAAAGAAGACGAAATCAACCTCCTGAAAGCGCTGCTGGAATCCACCACCGACCCCAACGCCTCCCTCCCGCTGGGCCACCACGTCTCGGAGACCCAGATCGCGGCGAAGATAAAGAGGATGAAAGAGCGGTACCACAAGCTAGCCAAGTCCAAGTCCCGCATCAAGACCGCTCACGACGAAGAAGTTTACCAAATTGCTCGCCTGATCTGGGGGAAGCAGGCCAAGAAACCCGCACCACTCATGGTGAAAATCTCCGGCGACGGTGAAGGAGCCGCCGCCGAGGAACCCTCACCCGAAACGGAAAAACTCCCCGACAGCGAAGATTTGGAGGAAAATGGAGAAAAAGATGAAAGTGGGGAGTTGGATTTGGGGGATTTCCCATATCTGGTGGACCAAATGGCTTTGAATTTCGCAGGAAACAACATATACTTGATGGGGTTAAGGGAATTGGGTTCAAGAAATCTCAAGGGCATGAATGAGCAGTGGAAGGTGTTAATGGAGGAAGAAGCTGAGTTCATAGCTAAGAAGGCTCAGTTTTCTCAAGAGTTGTTGGCTGCATTGGCTTTCAAGAATTGACATTTCCGATGAACAGAGAGAATTCCGAGGAGACTCAGGTAGTTTGCTGTATTGTCTGTGTGGGATAATTGTAATGCAACAAATGTAGGATAGAGTTTCAACAGTGATCTAATTTCTCACCATTTCAGAAATTCCTTTGTAAGCTTTTTGTCTGTCTTTAGTTCTCCTATACCCCCATTGAAAACAAGTGTTTTAACACCCTAATAGCTGGTGCATCAAAGGAATGGTTGCTTATAAAAATCAAGAATTTGTAGTTGATATGATCAAGAGAGGGCAAAATTACTTCATGAATTAGGAAAAGACACAATTTTGCTGCTAAAGGCATATCAACAAACCATTCATCATTATGATCTAAGAAAAGAATCAACTCATGAAAGTTAGAAAGGTAATAGGAAGGAAAGCTTTCAGCAACTAGAACAAATACCAAACCACCATTGAAACCATCCATTAAAAAAGAAACTTATCAGAAAACAAAAGAGCAAAGCAAAGTATCAGCTAACAAAACAAAGTGGAGAAAAGTACATTATAAAACAGAAAAGAAAGAAACTTTCATATAAATATCAACCAACAGTGATTTATGGAGTATCATTTATGCACTCTGGACAACTTAACACCATAACCATTATAGTAGGAAGATTCTCAACAGCACAATAACATAGATTCTAATGTTTTTTCTCTTTAATATAAAATATGTTTCATTTCTAGAGGAAATGAAAGATGACAGGAGAGAATCATTGGCTGATATACAAGCTTCAAATTTTCACTTGGCAATCAGGTTTAGCTAAGCCTGGTTCTCTTGCTGCTGCTGATAATTCAGTGGCCTCCTGAAAAGCATGATGTGTGGCTCTGGTCGATGAATGGCATAGTGGACCCATCCACGGCTCTGCTGAACTCCAATGGCCCTCCACTCATTCTATTAAATAAATGTAGACAAAATCAAAACAATAGCAAATATAAATGAAATTTGAACCTAGAATCCAAACAATTTTTATAACTACACAGTTCCAAATCATCTAATTTGTGTACTTACATTTTTAAATTTTCATTCTCTTAATGTCGAACACTAGTGGTCCAAACTAATCGCAGCAATGGTAGAAAGATGGAGAGCCATGCTCTCTTATATACATCATTAACAAAATTGACCCAATTATTGGAGTAGCATGTCAATAATAAAACTACTACAATGAAAATTTTCTACTCCCTCCATCTCATTTTATCTATTTAGATCGGTTAGAAGGCCTTACTCGAATTATTTTATAATATGCAGTTTAGTATTAGTCTATAAAATTTATATATTTAAAAACTACATTAAAAGTATTATTAAATAAGCAAAGAAGAAATAATTACTTTAACCAATGAACAGTAAATAGGACATAGGACAAGTAAAATATGATAGATAAGAGTATTTTTGTAAAGGCCGTTCATCAACAATCTCTCCAAAACATTATACCAATATTCAAACTGAAATTAAAACATGAGAAGCAAAATCTTCAAAATCAAATCCAAAAATAGAAACTTACTTCAGAAAGAAGCCGATTCTTGGAGAGAAGTTTCGCCACTTCAGGTGGGAGAACAACATGCCTGAATAGAACCGCCGAAATCGACAAACATCAGAGGACAAGTATATTTCGGTGCTTCACAACATTTAAAAAAAAAAAAAAACAAAAACAAAAAAAACAAAAAAAAAAAAAAAACAAAACAAAACAAAACAAAACAAAACAAAACAAACAAACAAATACGGAGTGAATAAATATTAACAGGATTGAAGTGCTGGGGAGAACGATGAAGTACCTATACTCGAAAGTGTCATCGAAGTACTTCTCAGAATACTGAATCTGACCCATTTCAACTGCGATAACCCGAAAGGAGACAAAGACAAAGCACTTGCTTAGTTCTTCAAATTATAAGAACAAAATTAGAAATTAAAAATGAAACCCTAATTTGAATTTTCTGCAAAGACAATAATTAATCAATATCTCTAGAGGGAGAGAGAGATACCGAGCAAGAGAGAAAATTGGGAAAAATGAATGAATAGGCTTTGAGGAGACGGGGCGCAATGATAGGTTTTGAGAAATTTACCAAATCGGCTGTTTAAAAAAATTTAAGAAACAAAAAATAAATTTTTAAAAAGTGAAATGACAGAAATAGGGCTTGGCTTCATATTCAAATTTTGAATTCTTTCCCGCTTTGGGTTGATTTCACTATAAACGGTAAAAATGATTATTTAAAATATGGGGGTAAGGAAGGAATTTAAATTCTGTAAATGATTAAATATTTGATATTCGCTTGTTTTTCACTTTTGTTACCATCTTATTACTTTCGTAATCTATATATTTTGGAAAATTTGCACTTTTCATCCCTAAGTTATAGGATAATTATAGAATTCGTCCCTGAGTGTTGGTCATGCTCACTTTTCGTTCCTAAGTTATCATTGGTGTTGCACTTTTCGTCCCTGAATTATAAAGTAATTGTAAAACTCGTCCCTGAGTGTTGTTTATGCTCACTTTTTGTCCCTAAGTTATCATTGGCGTTGTACTTTTCGTCCATGAGTTAACATACACAGCGGTTGTTTATGCTCACTTTTCGTCCCTAAGTTATCATTGGCGTTGCACTTTTCGTCCCTGAGTTAACATACACAGCGGTTGTTTAACCACCGTATATAGTTACACATACACGGCGGTTTCCAAAAACGCCGTAGAAAGTGTATATTTACAACGACAGTCACTTACACACGTGACACTTCGAAAACCATCGTGTATGTGTAAAAAAAACCACCGGCGGTTATTTAAAGTGTATGACGTAAAAAAAAAATAATAATAATTAAGGTATATACGACGGTTATTTAAAAAACTGTTGTCTATTAAGTTACGTAGTATAACAAAATATATTAGACGGTGGTTATTTCAAAAACTGTCGTTTATTAAGTGAAGTAGTATACCATTTATGTAGTAGTGATTAGGGACGGAATATGCAATTTTAGTATATCTCAGGGACGAAAAATGCAACGCCAATAATAACTTAGGGACGTAAAGTCAACATGAACAACACTTAGGGACGAAATCTAAAATTACTCTATAACTCAGGGACGAATAGTGCAACGCCAATGATAACTTAGGGACGAAAATTGAACATGACCAACACTCAGGGACGAATTCTACAATTATCCTATCTATAACTTAGTGACGAAAAGTGCAATTTTGTCATATATTTTTAAGAAGAGGGTCAAATAAATCTTCAAATTATATACAAAATAATAATAATAATTAGGCTTCTATTTTTATGAGACACCTCAATTTATTAAATTAATGTAATTAAGCTAATTAGTTGATTACCAACCTTAACTTATCAAACTTATACCATTAAGTCAATTAGTCAATTATCAACATGTAACCATTTAAAATGTGCTTATATGATATCTTTATTCAAATAAATGAATTTTAAAAAATAAAAAATAAATTTTATTCGAATCCTTATCCACTCGAGAGGTTGTGGGATTTCCCATTACTATGATCACACGGACTTCAAACAAAAAGCACTTGGAATTTCATGGATCGATATGGGAAGAATGTACGATAAGAGCGTTTGCCAGATACTAAAGGAGCACTTTGTGAGGACGACGATAGATGCCTGCTTTATTGTAGCATTAAAGGCAAAAGACGTGAGCTTTCTTAGATGCTTTTCCTTTAATTTTTGTTTTTCTTTGTGAAATTCAGTTAAAAATTAACGCCCAAATAAAGAATAGACCAAAATAAAGGTGTAAATATCTCCAGGAAAACTGAAGCATAGCCAGCGCCATTGCAAATGAATCAATTAACAAGTACAAAATGAACCTAATTCTGAAAGTACTAAACGGTATATTTGAGATCAAAGGTTATCTAACTATCAGCAGCTGAATCAACCTACCAAAATGCCCACGAAAACTACGACATGCCTCCAAATCAGTTGCACGAAATAGCCTACAGATTTACACCCATTGCTTCATACTTGCGCTCTCTTCTGTGAATAAATCTATCTTTCAAAAAACAGACCGAACCTGATGTCATCAGTGATGATGCTATTCTATCACCCTTATATACAACACCCAAATTAATCCCAGCTATACATTTTCATTCAACACAGCAAAATTGACATTTACACCCTGCACGATGAAAAACTTCATCCCTCCCTCCTACTTAAGTGAGAATTTCATGATTCGGAGATTTGCTTTTGCAGCATCGCCGTTCCCTGAAAAATCATCATTTGATAATTGTCTTTGTAGTGCTTCAGCTGAAAGGCATAACACAGACAAAACACAACATGATTAACATTATTGGACTGATTGGGTGAGATGATAAAGTGCACAAAACACAAGGGTACCTCTTCTGGAGCCATATGTTGAAAGCCAAATTTTTTTGTCCAAATAGATTCAGCTTCCTCTGCTGCAGGAAGCACCAGGTATTTCACACCCAAAGATTTCAGAAGATTCTCGATGGAATAAAACAATGACTGAAAGTAGCCCTGCACCAGAAGTCGTCATTTAAATATCTGCAACTTAATGTTACAAGCAATGTTTTCTTATCTGCAACTTTAACTAAAATGAATTGTCTTCTTTTACTACATAAGTCTTATTAAGGACATGACTGGAAATATGGGCCAGACAGACCGTTAAACTTACCTTTCCCTGGCAATCAAGACTTGTTGCAACCAAAGGGAGTTCAGCTACTTCCTTGCCGAATATCCGTATTACTCCAGCAGATACAACCAATGAGCTACATATAATTCAAATTAGAATTAAGTACCTATGTAATATCTTCAAGAAGTAACTCCCATAGTAAAATAAATATGGCTCCTTACTTGACCATTAGTATTGCACAAAGCATCCCACCAAAGTCTTGATCCTTGAAATTCCTTCTGATAATCAGACAGTATATATTAATTGATATTACTCATAGTCTATTAACATAGAAAACCAGTCAAGAAAGATCAGTAATCCAGACATTATTACTTACCCATAGACCATGGTGGGTATCAAATCAAGGCGGCTAGTACTGGAATCAGCAATGGGGTCAAAAGAGTCCTAAGCATAATTAGTTGTAAACAGATATTAGTTTGAAATGAACCATTGCCCAAGGGACTAGTCTAACAGCATAAACATTGTAATTTCAAACTACAGAAAATTTACACTTTCCAGTGAAGTCAAAACTACCCTAGTACTACGTAACTTTTTATCACTACTCGATTGAACCATACCCCCAGCATAATAAAAAGACAGTTTGAATAGATCAAGGATGGGATGGGAAAAATTTCCAATTTAAAACCAAAACAATAAAATGCATAGAAAGAAGATTGAAAAATGGAAGACACTTCAAAAAGGACTAAGATTGCGTACATGGAAAATGGAGACAGCACCAGAAAGCCACACTCTGGTTTCCTCCGTAGAATTTTTTCCACTCAGGAGCCTCCATTTTACATCATTAATAGAATTGTCCTCCAGATTTTTAGCCTTAATCTTCTCCTTTATGATTCCCATTAGAGAGTCAGGAAGGCTCTGTTCTCCATCTGATACAAGTTTCTGCAGAGTATAATGAATGCTATTGCACTCTTCGCAGCAAAACCATTTATCCTTTGGCAGTTCCTGTGGAAAACACTACTATTAAATTGCATGCAGATATGCCAAAAAGATCTTAAAAATGAAAAAAGAATCACACATTAATGAAGGTGCTGAAGCAAAGAGAAATATTATTATTTAAAACACGAGTTTAACCTTAAGATCATCCATATTGTGCTCTTTAAGACACTTGACATGATATTCCTTTTCGCACTACAAAAAGAATGAGAAACTGTCACACCTCTACCAACTGACAAGATCCAAAGGACTTGGAAACCCAGATGTAATAAGTAAAATAACAACCACACATACCTGGTCACAGATAATAACTGTCTGAGGACCAAATCCTGATGTACTAAAATCATGACTCCTGCAAGCATTTTTGTTTAAAAAAATGTGTAAGCTGAGCAGTGAGAGAATGACAGTGTGCTAGAGGAATACAAAGCTCCATAAGAAAATGAGAAAATTTCCTTTTTTTCTACAAAAGCAGAGTGAAAAGAATTTGGCAAGAATGTATGTGTATTGAAAAGCACTTAAGTACCCAACAATCCAGATTGGAAAGCATATTGGGTTATGGATTACACTTCTCCAAATATCAGTTGTTCAAATTAACAACACATGGATTATACTTCATCACTTCATGGTAAGGACTACCAGTAATTATAATATTAGGAACTAATCACTCCACTACTCAAAAAAATAAAAACAACTCATTCTATCAAGAAAGCATTGAAGGCAAAACCTGCAAAGCACACAAACACCAACTTCAGCATGTAAAGTATCAACAATCCGAATGGAACGCTTGGTTATTTGCTCTAGTGCATCAATTCCAGCAATCCTCCCAGCAGCAATGGCATTGGCACTACGGTCAAACTTTTCTTTGAGAAACATATTCTCACAATATTTACAATACCATGTCCCCCTAGGAATGTTTGGCAGGGAAACACACTCTGAGAGGAGAAAAAAGAGACATCTTAGCAATGTATGAATGACTTCAGCTTGTATGCCAAATAACTAATCAATTAAACAAGTATTTAACTTGATTAATAGAAAAAAACTAAGTATAACAACTAGTTAGATCTGAATAGTACTCCAATACTAAAAGAAAAAAAACAAAGTATACACCAAATAATTATTTACATTTATAAAAATCATGAATGTAATCATAAATTCTAAGAAATAGTGCATAACCAATACACTCTTATTTTTCCAAAGCAGTAGGTCAAGCAATTTATAAACATCAAATATTAACGATCTAAAGTGACACATAACAAATGTAGTGAGTAAAACATTTTTCGTCAATTTATAATGAGATAGACCTGCATGGAAAGCTCTTGGGCAATTATCGCAGCACAAAAGATCACCTCCATCAGCACATATGGAGCATAGATCATCATTTTCATCAGATGAGGATCTACGCTCCATTGAAAGCTTGATAGACAACTCATGTAACGACACCCCATTGGAGGTATAGATGTGAGAGTAACTGGCAAGAAAAACAGAACCAAGT